GGGTCTTAAAACTTTACTTCAGGAAGCGTCCTGGTCGCGTACTTTGGTGACGCGACTAAATCTAAAAAGTACGACTAGTTTTAAAGACACCGTTGACATTTCAAAATATGCTAAATTAATAGCATATTAAAAAAAAACAGAATGTAGGGTATCATCCTAAAAAATCAAGCACATTTACAAAAGAAAACATTGAAAACTTTTTAAAAAACGCTCCATTTCAGTTTCTGCCACAGAACGTATGGATCATAGGTATCTATTTTTTGACTTGTATTACAGTTTTAAATATTCTAGGCTACTTTGATTATTGGTATCTCAGGTGCATGCCGAAGTGACCAACTATTTACGATGAAAATTGCTGATGTAGATCTACAATAACAGAGAGCAATTATTGTGATTTCAGACACAAAAATATACCAACCAAGAACATTTTTCGTAACTGATATCGAGTGGATAGAAATTTTAAAATGTTACGTTAATCTACGCAAGAATGTTGAGCGTGATCGATTTTTCTGGCAGTTAAGAAATGGCAAGTTGACAAAATAGCCATATGGTCATAATTCAGTTTCCCAATTTCCGAAAAAGAATCGAAAGTTATGTACAATTAAACATAAATATATACACTGGCCATTATTTCCGGCGGACAGCTGCAACATTGTTTGCAAATGGTGGCTAAGACATTATTTAATTAAAAAAACTAGGAGGATGGAAATCGACTACGGTCGCTGAGAGCTATGTAGATACTTTCTTAGATGACAACTAAAATCGCAAGTATGCTGTCTAAAAAAGATTCTACCAAAAGTTCTGCAAGTGTGCAAGCTGTGCCAAATGATTTTGTCCCTGGCCCATCCTCCACTTCTCAGCAGTTTCATTTCTGGAAAGAAGACTTGCATTCAGGGATTTCTTTTAATATTGAAGGGCATGACAATGCTACATTTAATTTTTATTTTAATAACAAGCCATAAACTTTGTTATACCTACTTACTACTTTGCTATTGGTTATGTTACATATAAATAATTCACTTTGTAAAGGAAAAATGTGTTATCTTTACCTATTGTCCATTAGGAAGAAATCAAATTTCGAAGTGGACAAGGCAGGCAGCAGAAGCTATAGGAATGGACACGAAAAGAATAATAGTGACAAATTACTCGAATCGTGCCGCGGTAGCTACTCACCTTGCCAAGGCTGGAGTTTCCGAAAATCAAATTATGAAAGTAACCGGACATTCAAATCAGGCTTCGTTAAAGAGTTACCTCCAAGTCGATTACCAAGTGAACACCAGGAAAAAATTATACAACAAATGCGAAATAACGATAGCGAAATAACAGTAATTTATAAGTGATGAAAGCAGCATGAAAAGCCCATCCTCATCAGTCGGTGTAATCAGTGAAACCAACATACTTCTGTTCCATTTAGCAAGAAATGCTTGAAATGTGGAAGCTGAACTGACGTATTATAACCTTTTAAAATGTTGGGCTTCAGCACATAATATATAATATGTATGGGGCACATAACCATTTGATATAGGGTAATTCGAGGGGATATGGCCATAGAGTAAAGATGGCCAACACCTATATACAAGCAACCCACTACTAGATATCGGTACTACTGGCGTAAACAGAGTTATTTGTGTTGGTTATGCTTCTGTTCGTGTATAGTTTCTGGCTTCTGAAGGCAAGTTTTACAGGTGTTACGTAGATATGACAACCAAAAGTTTTTAAGCATCCACTTTCTGGTACAATAATATCGTATATAAGATTCTTGATTGCTCTATTTTGTTCCCTTAGTGTTCAAATAATGTCTCACGATTAATATAACCTCAAACCGACATGAAATGTGGATGTGTCGCCCGTGGAGGCTATGGTCATCTCTCCTCTACAGAAAGGAGAGTTGGCCAACATTTTTTAAGGATAGTTCGCCATGGCTATCTATCCTATAGTTATGATTGATTTTTCAGTTGCCGAACATATATAAACGAAAGGCATTACATAAACGTGATTATGGTCCCAAGAAGGTCTAATACAAGCAATGGAGGCCGTAAATAAAGGTCGAATGGCTGTACGACGTGCCTCTATTGAATATGACATTCCGCGAAAAACATTAGAACGATTCTTAAAAACAAATAATGCAAGTAAAGGTAGATTGGTCTTTTTGGGGATGCAAATGGAAAAAAAAAAACATATTAAAAAAATGCAGAAAATGGGATTTCCGCTAACAAGAGACGACATACCCCACATTGCTTTTAAATTTGCTGAGCAATGCAAAATCCCAAATCGATTTAACGAAGTTACTGAAAAAGCTGGGTATCCTTGGCTTCAACTATTTCCGCGTCGGCATCCTGAGATTCGAATTCGTAAATCACACGAGAGTAATATTCAGAAAAAACACGAAGTTATAGCAAATTCTAAAAAACAAGACCATAACTCTAATCAGCAAACCATTGATGAACCGCAACCAGGCTGGTCCCTCGCACTCTCTATAAGAAGAAGAAGACAAATACACCTGCCATGAAGCAGTGGAAAGCTTTTCAGATATCGGTATGCTGGCTGTGGAATTAAACCAGATAAAAGGTGAGTGACAACCCAGTACATCACATGCAGAAAACAAGAAGAAAAAGAAACTCCAGGTAAAATATTAGAAAACATCTCGGAAGTACCGAAGCTGACTGTGAAACGAGCTAAAAAGCGAGCAAAAAGTGTTGCTTGCTTGCTAACTTCACCAGAGCATATACAAAAATGTAGAATTAATCAGGTAAAGAAGCAAAATATGAGTCAAAAAACCAGTGGTAAGATGAAATCACAGCGTCCACTTGGTGGCAAGAAATCTTACAAAACAACACCATCTACCTCGCTCCGAAAGAAGAGAAAGGATTCTTCAGATTCTTCATTTGAGTGTACTAATGATGAATCTGATGATGAAACATGTATAATTTGTGGAGAACAAGGGAAATCGGAACTCTGGTATCGCTGCATTTCATGCGGAACTTGGGTGCACAAATTATGCAGTGGAAAAAATACACCGAAAAATTACATATGCGATTTTTGTTTAAACGTATAATCTGAACGTTCTTTTTAACATTTTTACTAGTTGCTTGGATTTGTACCCACCTTTTTTTTTGTTAAATTTGTTTATTTTATTTGAAGTTTTTATGACGAATGTTCTTTGTTTTTGTCTTTTTTAATAGATGTTTTATAAACATATTTTTTTTATACGTAATGTCTGTGAAAAATGCTATGGCCATTACTCCCTACACAGTATGGCCTTCTCACCTCACCCTTCAAGGAGAGATGGCTATCCGTCGATAAAACAACAAAAATTCTCAAAAATTCACTGTGAAGGTCTTTTGCATTTATTGACTGATATATGAAATCTATGGTCTAGCAAAACATTCTCCTTCAAATTTGAAGTCATTTGCTTTCATAGTAACATAGAAATCGTCAAAAAAGTAAACCATGGCCGCGTCCCCTCGAATTACCCTAAACAGGCAAGATCTAGCAAGAATAAGTAGTAATACATTGTCTGTAATTTTTATTTAAAACTAATGACACTTATTATTCTCATTATTATTGATTTACTTATTAACCATAACATTAAACTGGATTGTCAAGATTTAAGTCACATTCACCAAGAAGAAAACTAAAATTAAAAATTAGATACAATTCTATCAACTAGCAATGAATACGAGTTTACTAGGTGCAGAACAAGAAATGCCTCAAGCTACAACTGGTTTATTTAAAGTCCAATTTGTCTCCACTGATTAAATGATATTATTGGGAAAGTGCTAACCCATATGCCATTTTTTCCTTTATTACTAGTATGTTAAAAGATGTTTAAATATTTAATTATACGACGCGAATTCTCTTATAGTTACTGTCACACATTTTTTTTTAACGAACTGATCTAACAAAGTGCTTATAGTACAACATTTACAAAAAAAGAATTGAAGTTCATTACAAAATTGTTAACCATGCCATGTAAAATATTTAAAAATGAAACTAGTAAGAAACGTTGTTCAGAATCAATGTTAGTTTCTCTCCTATTTTTGATTTTTTATTTTAAAATATGAATAATAATAATCCATGGGTGTGGCCAATGTAACCATTGTTTTTTCGTTACAACACTTGCAACATATACTGAATGGTATAACAATTGATTGTTACTTGATGTTTTCTCTGACTTCACAAGAAATGACAAATTAAAACTATAAAAAAAATACAAGAGAATGTGATAGTGGCTCTGTATTTATCACAATTATCCCCGTTTCGCTTGAAAATATTTTCAACGGTATGTTTGATAATTTTGTAATTTCATCAATTTTTCTTTTTTCTATGATATCTGACTAATTATTGTTGGTTTCAGAAAAATTATATACGAACGAATTGTGAAAAATGCTGACTACTGTTTGGCGTAATAGTAAGGCTGGACAAAAAAAAAGGACATAGGACCTTCTTGTAGTATTTTCCCAAAATGTCATTTAATCTTAAATTTAAATGAATTGTACTATAAATAAAGTACCTTTGACTTGGGACATTTTTCTTGATACATCCTAGGTATTCAATTAATTAGTAATATATTTATACACACAGTGTTTCAAAAAAAGTAGGGACAATAAAATGAAGATACAAATATATAAATGATATACAAGTATTTTTCGTTTGACTGAAATAAAAAAACTGGTCCTGAAAATTTATAAAAACTGAGATGGGCAATGATTTTGTTTCATATCTTTCTGCAAACGATTTAATCTAAAGTCGTAGGAAAAACTTAACGACAAAGAAACGTCATTCCTGTCAAAGTTTTCAGGCAATTCGTATATTATAAGTGGTTTTAATTACAATTCAGTGTTATATCTGTGATTTCTGCCACTTTTCAATGCAGTGACTAAAGCTTCAGAATTTTGACAAATCAAGTGTAAGCTATTAGTGCGAATCCACTTTGTCGTTAAGTTTTGTCTGCCACTATAATATGGTGTAAGACCCGTCTTGATAAAGACTGGTACTAGTATTGACATCGATGAGCACAATTCTTGTAAAATTGTCTACTTTTTTTTTGAAACACTCTTACATTTAACCCAAAGTTGAATGAGATTCCTTTAATAAGACCATCTTGATGGAAAACAGAACTAAGTATGAGAGTTCTTTAAAAAAGTGATCAAATATATGACATGTATGACCGGAGGACACAGTTTTGAAAAATGTAGAAACAATAAGGAAAAGATAATCAGTGAAAACATTTTAAACTGAAAGTTGCAAATTTGCAGTGCAATTTTTAGATTAACGAAAGAGTAGTGAAAACATTAGAAATATAGTCGAAATTATATTTTCCTTTTAAAGACTATTAGTTTATATGACAACAGATTTCCAAGTAAAGTATTGATGTCTTACTAGCACTCCACATTAGATGGTAAAATGAAACAAAATCCCAGTCAACGACAATTTACCAAATACTCTGCAACGCAATTCTTTTGGATATTTAAAGTTTAATCATTACAAAAATTAAACCATAGAATACCATCAACTACATCAGACTACATATACTGCGTTATGGTAGAAATAAATAAAATGAATTGCACTTAATTTTTTATAAAATCCTTGCATTACATTTTGTAAAAAAAAATGTAGGGGTCAAAAGCTAAAAAAGAGCAATTTATTTTTCTGATTATGTTGAATTCTATGAAATTCCTGGTTATATAGGATAAATATATACATACTGGGTAACAAAAGTTCATTTAAATTTAGATGTTTTAGAGCAAATTTAATCAGCGAAATGTGTATGGCGCAATGTAAAAGAAAAACATGACTAAGCTCTTAAAACTTAAATGGATAAATCTCGTCTTTATATGTTATATCATACTGTTAGCATGTTTATATATATAAGATTAATTTTCACGTTTACAGGTACATATTACAGTTGCATCAAAAATATCAGTTAATTATAAATGCAAACTCTAATCCTCCTTTAATTATATCGAACGATTAATTACGGTAGGGGACAGATCTTCATCTTAATCTGGTGGAAACCAAATTTCGTTTTCGGTTTTGCGGCAAAAAAATGTGCCCAACCATGGTAAATTAGTGCGGTCGGGTAGATTTTCAGACAAGCAATTTTGTATATATCTGCACCGACTTTTCCCAAGTTATGTAACTAAATTATCTATTTTATTTCTGATGCAATTGATGGCACTGAACATTGTACCTTAAAAAGTAAAACAGATATAAGACCTTATTCGCTCTAAACTTATGTCTATTTTCTATACTTATATACAACATTTACTTAAGTAACGACAAATTTATTAATATGGAAGAATTTATTTGATGTACAAAAATAATGACGCCACGCCCTTGGTGTTCAAATTCATAAAATAAAACGGAAGCACATATTCTGCGACAATACAGTCAAATGAAACACGTACTTTGAAATCGGCTAATTTAATTAATATTATTTATAAACAGTTTTAGAAGTACACTCACAGTTATTTGGCAAAAAACAGAAAGGACAACTGTAAAATACATTTCAGTTATTCATAATTTTGACTACATTATGCAGACATAAATACTTACAAAATGACCTTTTGTACTGGCACAGGAAAGATACGTAAATAGTAGTTAGCAGTATTGCTCGTCGCTCGTCTTACAAAGAAAAAACGAAATATGTTCAGGTTTACTTACTTATCTTATACCTTTCTCTCAAGCGTCGATATCCGTGCGACGGACCTTGAATAATTTACATATTTTCCACAATAAGTTTAAAAAAGCGTCATTTTGCCAAATGAGTCATGGTGGGAGCGAGTGACTTAAAAAACCAACGCGTGCAGGAAAATCACTTTTCTAACGAGTTGAGAATACTATTTTTTCGCATTTTATAAAACTGTATATTAAAACATTTGGAATAAATATGCATAAATTTTGAAAGTTCAATGTTTTTATAAAGTAGGAAATGTTGCGTAGTACCATTTCAGCAACTGTGAAAAATATTTTCCGTCCAAATAACAACAAGCAACTTTTTTTCAAAAAGTGAACAATTAATTCCAACAGTTAAGAAAATTTACTAGAAAACTTTCTCTATCTGCGGATATTTTAAACGCGGTATATGAAGCTTCTTCAAGCATATTGCGAGTGAAATCGAAAAACTTGCGGACAATTTTGTAAGTAGGAAAAATACGAACAAGTAAGTTATTTGAAAATAATTTGAATCTAATATGAATATTTAGAGCAGAATCGTGTTGTAAGCACAAAGTTTACAGGTTTCATTAAATGTGTTTTTTGTTGTTTTACGTAAAAACTTTCAAGGATTCAAGAAGCTACTAGCACTCTTCAAACTTCAGAATGATAGCTATGAACCAAAAAATAGAAAATTTTGTCCATTGACAACTATTGTTATTATTACTTAATACAAAAAAGTACAGATATTTATATCTTATTTTAGTTTTACGTGTTCTTTAGACAAAAAATTGTTGTGGCGAATATCAATACGTTAAAATATGCAATTAATTACAGCAGACCGTTCGCTTTTGGTGCGTCAGGTCCACCAGTTCATCATGGTTAACAATAATACTAATAATACTTAATAAACATAAAATATGCATCATTCCGAGATTTAAAGAATTATTTGTTTTTCTAAAAAATGGTAAATATGTACTAATGTAACTTTTAATATTACATTTATATATGTTACGTAGTCAGTCAACTAATTTTATAATTTGCTAATCTTCCATACCCTGAGTCTTGACGCCGAGGAGGTTTACTTTATAAACTATATATAATTACATACTTTTCATACCTTGGAACGAAATGAAATATATAATTAAAACGGACACTCACATCAACAAAAAAAAAAAATGTCGATATGTAGGTAATATTAAATTACAAATGAACTGACTGTTTTTTTTTAAGTTTAATGAATCAAATGTTCAGACGCTTACACTTACTGATCCGACTGAGTGGCTGAAATGTGTCTACTTGTCCCTCGTAGAACAAAAAGCTGTTTGGATATAAAGAATTTGGGCTTTCAGTCATTATTTTAAATACAAAGGAAAATCTTATATACTCATAGTCTTAAGAAATAATACAAGAATTTCTTTTTCCATGACGATCTCTAATTTGTTGTAAATGCTGAATTTGGACGGCCGAAGGAATCATTGCAGCCTGCGAAGGTGTAGAAGGCGGCGGACCAGATTGAGGCGGCAAAGACTGTCGTCTACGACGTTGTAAAGCTGGACTGAGGTTGTACTTTACCTTCGCTTGAGTTAAAAGTTCCTTGAAAACCTTGCTTATATTTATATTTTCTTTCGCCGATGTTTCTATAAACCCATTTTCCCAGTCCACCGTTACGACTGATTCCGTTGTGGCAGTGTCTACCTATGTAAATGCATTCCCATTTTAAAAATAATATATTCAAACAACGAATATCCATATTCTAATGTACATATCGTCTACACGTCTAACATGCAAGCAAGGTAAAACAACTAACACAATGTTGAACGAGGGTAAATATCGGACATATAATGCTAGAAATATATTGAAGGAACCTATACAAATATTATAATTGTACAAAGTAATATACAGACCTGTTTTATCAATTTTTACCATAGTGTATTAATTCTTCAACCATACTTTTGTGCATATTTACTTTTAGACATCAAGATAAGTGTACTTTGACAACCTTCTCCTACTTCAGACGTTATTAAAAACTGATAGTGCAGGGATAATGATTTTATGCATGTGGATTTTTCTTTGAAGTACAACTCCTGCGATCACTGAATCGATGAAAGCTAGCAGTCTTATATGCGTTTGGACTGTTACCACAAAATGATGTTTTATAAACTCCAAAACTACTTGTTCGCCGAATTTAAAACTTAATATTCTTAAAATTGTATAAGTGAAAGTAAAATAATGAAATTCAACAACGTTCGGAAAGAAAGTTAGCCATTTCATAAATAATACATAACATGGCGGTCTAGCGCAAGCTGTATATTAAAGGTTCTTACTCCTGTCAAATTAAAGCGAAATTAACTTTTGATTTTCAAATTTCATTCTAGTTACATATACATATAAACATATATTCTTTTACTTTTTAACCGTAAGCGATGAACAATTGGTGGCAAAATATTAAGTAGTATTTTACAGAGCACATATTCGTTCTAAAGTTACATACACTTATTTCAGAGATTTTTTAATAATCTTGATTACTTGTTAAGACAATAATATTGTCGTTTATTTCAACGTTCAGCAACATCGAAGGAGTAGTTTTTGTTACATTTCGTATACAAATTCATGATACATGTCATTTTTGGTACTTAAAAATAACAATAAAATACTAAAAGCAAACTTTGCATGAAGAACAATTCCAAGGCCATATACTGCATTCATGGTAAACTAGGTAGATAATCCGACCAGAATAATAATTTACAGTCAAAGTCGGTTAAGGTAACTTCTATGGCTGTGCCAGAAAGTTTGTAAGACAAGCCGTAGGCCGAGTCGGATAAAATAGACAGGGGTGTAAAACACAACGAATGGGTTTTGCACAATAAAGGTTTTGGAATATCCTTGCCGTAAGTCTATAAATGAATAAGAGTGTGCGGGATCTTGTCATTGTTAACTATTGTTTATAAAAAACGGTCTATTCAAGATTTTATTGATTGCTTTAGTGAGTTAGTTTTTACGGCTACTCTTATATACGGACTCTTTATGGACAGCGCTGTCAAGACGTTGTTTACATAGTACCTAACAGTCCTTAAAGCAACTTTTCATACTTAGATACTTATTACAAAAAAGTGTATTTAAATAGACGGGCCGAGTTAGTAATATTATAACAAGTCCATCACAAATTTATTGAATTTCATCCATTAATAAAATATTTGCAATTCTGATCTAGTGAGCATTGAGGAATAACGTTAAATTATATTCTCAATAGTTTAGTACACTTTCCTTAGTTTTTAAGGAAATATTACATATATGTATAATGAAACGAAAAATATTTTGATTAAATAAACATGACAACATCAAATGCAAAATGCAATTTCGATAAGTTGTAATAAAAATATCTGTAATTCAGTTTGGTCTTAAAAGGTTGACGTTTATGCTAGCATGTGAACTATTATATGGTTACGAAATAAACCCATACGCCACTTCGGTTCGACGCCTATGGGTTCTAGTATATATGGCGATGATGGATGACTCATCGTCGGTGACGTCGGCCAGGCCAGGTGGCGTTCGTTAAAGAAAAGCCTGGAAGCGGAAGTCGCGATGGGTATTCCAGAAATAGGTCGATCGCAGAACATTTGGAAGGGAAGTATGGATTTAAATAGAATCGCCTTTCGCGAACGAGTAAGTCTCAGCCAACAAGTGAAGTCCAGACAATGGGAGACGTTGAGTCGAGTCAAATCCATCGCAGTCGGAATTATTTTGTACATAATCGCTGTACAATTAGTCGTGTATATTAGAGTTACTAAAAAATAAATTGTTGAGTTTTACCACGTCGATTTTAAATCATCGAACATGGTAACAATATTATACGATACTGCATTCATTGGTGTTTTAACCAATTTATCGCTTACAGTAAAAGGATTTTTTTTTTAATTACATCTTTTGGCTTAGATACTTAATTTAAAGATTTGAATTACAACTTTTTTATGTTTCGTTTATTTTTGGAATGAACATCCGAACTTGTCATTTGGTCGCTTATAGGGATGTTTTTCCATCGCTGCCGTTTGTAACTAAAGTTGCGTTATAAATAAGACCACGTGGTAAAACGGAAATTGTTCAATTCAATCTTTATCCGTCTATACGTTTTTGCTTCCGATTCAGTCTACGAAGTAGCTATAAATCCCGCTAAAATTCTCTTTCAGTAATCCAGGAAAATTAGAGATAAATTAAATTTACAAATGAAAGTAGAAAATTCGAATCAGCAGATATTTTTCGTGCAGATGGTCGAACAATCATCCATTCGGCATAATAAAACTCCTCAAATGTGGGAAGCATTTTAAATTTTTGCAAATATCTCGAATCATGAAGATCGGAAAAACATCTTTCACAAAAATATATAAAAAGCTTAGAATTCTTTACTAAATAGCATACAGATTTACATGATATTTTAAAGTACATCTAAAATTTCACAATAATCGGTTCGTTACTTTCGGAGATCTGTCTAATAAAATCGCAAAAGACGACGACAAGCAGAAGTAGACGGGAAACTGACAAAAGCCAAATAAAGTGAAGTTAGTAAATACCCGGACTTTAAAGAATTGTTGGATACTTCTTCCATAAGACATTCTCAACAGATTTTTTTTTTTTTAATAATGATGGAAATTATGGAGAAGGTTCATTCGTGTGGATTTAAAATTTTGCGAATTGTGTTAATCACAAGTCCAACGTAGCATTGTTTTAAAAATTGGTAATGGTGAATTGAAAGTCAGAGTTGCCCATCCAGCAGATCCACAGCTCCCGCTATTTTGTAGTTTTAAATACTGCCATATGGTAAAAAACGCTCGTAACATTTTTCTCGAGCACGATATGTCTTCAAGTACAGGTGTTATAACAGCGGATTACTTGAAGAAATTATATAAGACGTAAAAGTCTGGGCTCATTAAAACAATTTCATTTCTTACTAGGCACCATTTGTACCCGAATACCTTCGAAAAGATTAATGTTTTGCGAGGGGTGCAAATATTTTCTCGAGCCGTTACTACTGCACTAAATTTTTTGGCAAAATATGAATCAATCAATGGGTTTCGGAAACGCACAAGCTACAATTGAATATTTAGAAGTTATGTCGGACTTTTTTAAACTCCACGATGTCAGTGACAGGAGACAACATGGTTAACAGAAACACTACCGAAGTATATAAACGCCATCCAAACGGTTTCGAAAAATAAAAATTTAAAAGGTCTAACTGAAGAAACAGCTCAAGCACTGGTATTTACTGTTCAAAGTACAAGCGAATGTGTAAAATATTTGCTGCATGACGGTGATTTTTACTTTGTTCTAACAAGGGCATTTAGTTCAGATCTGGTGGAAACGCTGTATAGTAATCTCAGAATGGGAGAAGGACTTCATGATGCGACTGATGCCAAAACTGCACATTATCCGCTGCAACAGATTTTGCCATCATTTGTACATGCTGTTTTGACTACTAGCACCAATGTCTCTGCAAACGATGCCTCATACACCAGTTTTGTTGGCATAATAATAAAAACACTTTAAATGAAGAGGATGACTTAGAAGAACTAGATCTACTGGAGTATATCAAAGAAAGTATTCAAAATTTGGGCGAAGAAACTGACAACGTGGGCTACGGTTTGCAATCTGCTTCTGTGGCTATGCTGACAAGATATGTTGTTCGAACATTGGAAGAACGAATTGATTGCTCTTGTTTAGAAAAATTTACTAGCTTCAGTGCGTGTACACCTTTGTTAGGGTTAATAACATTTACGCGATATGGGATCACTGCGATATCCCACAAAATATTTCATATCTATAATATATCAAATAAGTAACGTTGTGGAAGATATAATACCATATTTAAAAGCTGAAAATAATGGTTTAAAAGCGATCACTTTTTTGTTTTCAAAAAAAATTGAGACTTTAATGGATTGCTCTCATCAAAAGCAATTATTTTCTAAAACTATATTATCCCAATTAGTGAAGCCTTCGGTTAGTAGTTTTGGAAAAATTCATACTGACAATGCTTTTCGGACAATCTTAAGAGTATATTCCAAACCATTAAGTAGAAAGTTTTTGAAAGTGCAATCCTTCTTTATTGCTAGGTCGTTTCAGGTCATAATTTACGTAAATAGTATCTGTAATCTACATGTACTCTGTAAATTACTTTTTTTTTAGTTTTCTTATTTGAACTTTTGGAAATAAAGACATACATTACCTTGTCCTAGTAGGTAATACACACAACACTTTGTCTTTTCTGAAGTTATGATTTTCTGTAGTAATTTGCTGGAAATTTACAGATTTTATGATAGTTTAACGTTTAATTGCGAATATGCACACTTCAATTTACAATTTCCTGTAACCTCTGACCGCAGCGCAGTCTTGCCAAAAAATTGATTGAACAGATAATGTACCTATCAACGCAGACAACGGTTTGCATTTTTCCATAGATTCCTAAAGTTAATAGCATTCCTCAAGCGTCGATCCACTGCCACGAATCTATGAATCAAAAATCTTGTTAAGAAAGGAAGTTCAAAGATTTTTAGATACAGCACCAGACGAGACCTTTCTACTAATGAAAGTAAACAGAAAATCGTTTTATTAGATTAATGCTGATATTTATTTTTTTTTTTCATTTAATCTGCTGTTAATAATTGTGGGTATACCTGAGGCTTTTGGGTGCAATGAATTACCCCGAA